TCTCACCAGGGAACACTCTGTCAGACTCTCTCTCCTGACTATTAAAACCCTTTGCCTGGAAGAATCACAAATTGCATCTATGAATTCTTGGTATTCACACGACCAAGACAATCAATGAGAATAAGCTACAATGATCTGCAGCTGCTGTGACCCTGAGAATATAAACTGTCAAGAAATTCCTTAAAACGTTAGCAAGGAACAATAAAAGGACAGATCTATTTTATAAATTCGCATTGAAATGTGGACGAATCTCAGTAGCATAAACAAGGATCACTCATTCACCATCGGTTTTCCAAACAGCAGATGGTATGTGAACACGGAATGAAGTCTTTCATGAGGTGCACGGCCGGGTCTCCCAAGGGTTAACTCCACAGCACAGCTTGTTTCTCGAAGGTGTAACAGGAAGGGCAATCATGGCCTGATACATTTAGCCCGTGGCTTGACTGCAATTTCCCTCCTTCCTGCTTCCCCTTTTTGCATGTCCTTGGGGGAGCTTAGGTGTTGCTTAACCATTGGGAAGATCCTGGGAGGGGCCAAGCAAACTATATAAGAGAGCTCGACTTTGAATAAAGGCTTCACTTCACAGGAACAAGTCTCAGTGTGTTGTGTGTTGTCTGTCTTGTCTGTCTCATAACCCTAGTCCCTCCGCTCGACTCGGGGCTCGGGGTACGTGGCGACGCGGGCGTTGCCAACAATGAGGGAGGTATACGCAGCATTCCATGCAGCGTAAGAAGTACATGGGGTTGGTTGCTATTGTTGGAGATAATGTGGTTGTCAGTCAAAGGGAGAAAAATAGTACTGACTATAGCCTTTTTGCAACTGACACTTTGGTCCACAGAAAGTGAATGTTCAAACATATATCTTTATGAACTTTGACGTAGACTTCAACTACACAACAAATGACATCAAGCCAGTAAAAAGGTGTTGACAATGGCCAACCCTTGCAGGTAAGAAGTCAATAAAGACAGGAATAAAAGTCTCTCACCTGACAGCACACTAGGAAATGCTGCAATTGCACTAGACAGTATGAGTGGCTGGAAACCCTTGAGTGTATCCAACACATAGACGTTGCAATGACTGTCCAGCATGTGGCTGATAGAATTCTTATTACTGCATCATTAAATAACACGGAGTCATGTGAGAACGCAATGTGAGAGAACAGAAGGCCCTGAGAAATGAGAGTTCCAGCAGCTGATGTAATCGGGATTTCCATGCAGACATTTCCTCTCTCCTGGCCCTTTACTGTCAATGCAGGGAGAGTCAGTTACACCTCAATAACAACCCGAAAGGGCAGGGTGGTGACTCATGCGGTAGAGGCTGTTCCAGGGCCTGGAGTTGTAATCTCCCATCCTCTAGTGGGTTGCATGTGGTGAACAACCAAGCGACCTCACACTGGAAAATTGATATAACCTCAGTCCACCACATGTACCTCTACAAGAAACATCCCTGCTCTCCCCCGCCAGCTCTCCAGATGCTGCTAAGTTGGCTCCATCCACTCTAGGCATTTAAGGCACTCATTGCCTAGCAGAATTAATCTTTTCTTGCCATCATTTCATCAGCAGTCATGACCGCTGTCCTAGGAGATCCAAACGAGTTCCTGCCCTTTGGTAATCAAGAAGAAACGCATTCATTGGTTAAATACACAAAAACCCAAGACATTCCTGGGGTCAAGCAGGAGCTGAACTGACCTAGCTAGCACTCCTAGGAATGCGTTTCTTACATCAGCCCAGAAATTTGCTGTTCAGTTTCGCCGGGATTGTTGATCAATTTGTTCTGCCCTCTATGGTGAGCAAACCAGTGGGATCTGTGGCCCAAGCTGGCATTGTCCAAACAAGCTCAGTCCTCATGCAACACAGGGGGAGCTGCAACCCAATAAAAACAGGCCCCCAAAAGCTGCCTTGGATCACCACTCCAGCTCTGGTCCCTGTGTCTGCCAGCACTTGCAGTGGACTGGTTGCCGTTTCATTCTTATACACTGTGCTTTTGTGTGTGTGTGTTCTTTCTGTATTAATATCACATACAAAAAGACACTGAAAATGTTTCCTTCTGATCTTGTTGGATTAGGATATTCAAACACTTTACTAGAATGATTCTTTAATGTATGTTATTTGAAAAATAAACCAGCAAGCTAAAAAGGAGAACAGTGAATAGTTTCACATGATGTTATTTGATAAGAAATTGTCTCATGAGAAATGTGGGAATTTCAAATCTGCACGTTTAACCTCGAGCAATTCAATGAGCACAAGATACCATCTTAAATTCTCATTGTCGGATGGCTCTTTCTGTACCACAGGTGAACATATACAGTAACCAATGCCAACAGCACAGAACAGGCTCATAGCAGTGTAGGGAGTTGTACGGCGGTCTTGGGTCCCATTCTAGAAGATAATATTTATAAAGCAATGTGTTGCTATAATTATTTTCTACTTTTTTATTACTAAGTCATGAAATGGAGACTGCATTCTAGGGAATCATAAACATTGGAAAACACACACATTGGAACAAGAACGTGTGAGATCCTGACACACGACTGGATGAGCACTCAAGGTCTGTGTGAGTTCATGTTACTGCTAAGTTCCCTGACCCTGATTGGGCAATTGAATGGATGGTGTCCATGTGGTTCCCTCGGCTTCTCCATTCCTCACCTGGAGGGGCTATGCCAAATCCAGAAAGGACAGGATGTCACCTCCAGGGCAGGCAGGGAGGCACAGACAGAGATCTCTCTGGAAATTTTCTAGCAGAAGCAGGAAGAAACCTCAAGGAAAATGCACATCCATCAACCGTTCACCCAATCCAAGACCCCTATACCTGGACCACAAGACCCTTTCAGCACAAAGTACTTGGACACAGGAGGGCAGAATACTGTCACACACAAACTATCTGGAATGGAAATGTATTCTTCCTTTATTGCTGCCCCTTTCTTGATTTTTATCCATTGCAAGCAGTTTGTTTACATGGGAACTTGTTGGGCAATGAGAGAGTGATGAGAGTTTTTGGAGTAACAGAGTCTCATTTTTGTCAGTATGTCTGAGAAGACAGATCGCACACTGGGTTTCAGGAGCAAGATCCTAGACTGGAAGGAAACCACTGACCACTCACACACTACACTCTGGTACCGAAGTCTGTGCTGTTTGGTAGAAGGATGCACATAGGAATGCTGGACAAAGGTCAGAGTTGCATCCTGCTCTAAAATTGCATACATGGCATCCCATGTGAGAAATCACACATTTGCATACATGGCATCCTGTGTGAGAAATAGCTGCCTTATGCTCTCAACAACAGGGTTCACAGCTACCACGTGCACCGATTCTTATATAGATATGCTTATCCTATTTCTAACACTTTGAAGGGATATCAGTGTAGACATGATGAACCGATGAGTGTTGCTAGGAGTGACTGGGAATGAAGGGCTTTGCTGTTCTCTACAAAAGAACTATGCTGGGGGTTCTTTCCCTGACACATCTGTTTTGTGCTCTTGACTGTTCCTAGTGATGCTTTCCTGGAGTGATGATGTAAGTGTGCGAGATGTTACTCTGTAGACAAGTGAGTTAAGATTGCATGCATCCCCTGAATTATTTCATGAAATGCATGTGAGCCTACAGGTATCAACATCCAAGCAAAGGCAAAGATAATACAACTCAAAAAGCTGAGCAAGATTCTTATAAGAGTAAAATCCTGACACCTGGGCCATTTTTACTTTATACTTTGCAACGACAAAATTTGTGTTCTTACACATCAGTGATTGAAGTCTTCTCAACACATCTTCTATTCATGGAGACATAGAAATGCATGAATGTTCCCATTCTTCTCAGGTGCTGTGTTTTTGTTGTTCTGTACAAGGTAGGTTCCCTCGTGTCCAGCAGGTATTTCATAAGTAAAATGCTAAGAAATAAGACATCTTCCCTGCATGCTCTCCCCTTCCTTCATTTTTTATTTAATTTCTTACAATAATGTAATTAGAAGTTTTTAATCACAATCCTAATGATTAGAAAAAAGCAGAAAGACTGCTGCGGTACAGGCATATTGGCCAGGGTTAATAAAGTAATCAAGTCACAAGATACCAGTTTCGTTCCTATATACTGTGGTTTATTTGTGTATATTCTATATTAGCTGTGACATATAAGGGAAAGCATGAATATGTGACTTTTTGATGTGGCTGGAATAGAACATCTAAAGCTGTTACAATAATGCTGCATGTTACCTAAAAATAAACTAAACAAGTAAGATAAGAAAGAGAATATTAAATAGTATCATATGATGTCATATGATAAGAAATTGTACCATGAGCTATGTGAAATTTTCAGTTCCGCACACTTAACGTCATGCAGCTCAAGCAGCATGTGTAAGGCTTATGCTAATTAAGATTCCCATCAACACTGCATGGGGCATACATATGCAATGGAATACCACCCAGACGTCCAACGGATGAAATCTACTCTTTTCATAATAAATTTGGTGAACTGGACATCGTTATCCATACTGTAAAAAGCCAGTTCCCAAAGTTTCCAAAAGAACAAAGTTATATGTTCATTAAAATAGGATTTAAAAAAAGGAAAGGAATTAATTGCAAAAAGTAGTACAGGCACCATAAAAATACACATGAATTTAAAGTATTTGCACATAGACTATTACCACATGAATATCGATTTCTCCATGACATTTATGAGCCCCGCCTTTTTAAAATATATACATATTTGTTATTAATTACATTGCATATGTGACAGTTTCATTGAGCCCCTTTTGTTTCAAGAAACATAAAGGTGGCAAAAAGGAGGAATCAAAAAGAAAGTTTGTTGACCTACAAGACATAACACACAGTGCAATTCATTTGCAGTGTACAAGAGGAATTATTATTATTATTAATATTATTATTACAAGCAAGACAGTTGACAGAACAGGCAAGTGTTGCGTCTTCCTTGCATGAATGCATCACAGTGTCTGACCTTAGGCTTGAGAGATGAACCAACCGACACTGGTCAGCCCCAAGGCCATGGGTTCCACTACAGTTTATGCAGCAAAAGTCTTTTCAGAGCCTTCTTCATGTCTCCATTTCTCAGGCTGTAGATGAAGGGGTTCAGCATGGGGGTGACCACTGTGTACATCACCGAGGCCGTGGCAGTGGAATGTGAATTATGGATAAAAGAAGAACTAACGTACACACCTATACCTGTGCCATAAAATAAGGAAACTACAGAGAGGTGAGAGGCACAGGTGGAAAAGGCTTTATACTTGCCCTGAGCTGACGAGATGGCACGGATGGAGGAGGCGATCTTGGAGTAAGAGTACAGGATCCCAGCCAGAGGTCCTCCTGTCAGCAGCACGGCTGCAAGATACATCATGAGGTCATTGAGAAAGGTGTCAGAACAGGCTCTGTGGACCACCTGATTCAACTCACAGAAAAAGTGGTGGATTTCTAGATGTGTGCAGAAGCTGAGCCTCAGCACCAGTAAGCTGTGCAACAAGGCATGCAAGACACTCATTGTCCAGCTCAACAGAACGAGCTGCACACAGAACCGGAGATTCATGATGACTGTGTAGTGCAGGGGGTGACAGATGGCCACAAACCGGTCATAGGCCATCACAGCCAGCAGAGAGTTGTCCAGCGATATAACAATTCTGAAGAAGAACATCTGTGTGATGCAGCCTGCATAGCTGATGGCTCTGCTGTTTGTCTGGATGTTCACCAGCATCTTGGGGACGGTGGTGGAGGTGAAGCAGATGTCCACCAAGGACAGGTTGGAGAGGAAGAAGTACATGGGTGTGTGCAGGTGTGGATCAGAGAGGATGGCCAGGACAATGAGTAGGTTCCCACTGACAGTGACCACGTTGAAGGAGAGGAAAAGTCCAAAGATGAGAGGCTGAAGCGCTGGGTCCTCTGAGAGTCCCAGGAGTAGGAATTCCACAACCCATGTGTGGTTCCTTGGTTCCATGTTGACAATGTGACTACCTATTGAAGATAGAATATGACAGAGATGAGTGCTGGACGCCCTGCAGAAACATCATCATTTTGATAAATCGGTCCCTCCAGCATCCCTCTGCTCCTTCTGATGAACAATTCCTCTCCAATGAGCTGCACTTTCTTGTGAGACTGTGCACCTGCAGCTATGAGTTTCATCCACGCACTTGAGAATGAGTATTGACCAATCAACATGTTCCCGGCACCGTTTCAGCAATGTGTGAGCAGCCCTGAGACCCACATGTCCTTCATCCTGAATAGTGAATGTAAGCAAAGAGAAATCATGCAATACATCACATCATGCTGATGTATGCTTGGCGGAAAGCAACAAGCTTTAAACCATGGGAAATAAATAAGGTTGTACTACACATGTCTCAGGTCAGAAAAACACAGCAAACAATGTGTCATGTGAACAAAGATTAAGATCTCAAAGATCTTAATAAAGCAGGTGCACAACATTGTCTTGGAAATGGTGTGTGTGGCAAGAGACTCGGGCCAGGCAGATGCCCTGTGGAGGGGCTCATTTCAGGTGATTAAGACAACTGTGCAAGACTTTCACAACAGGAATGAGCAATTGAGGAATGTTGACATGGATGAAAGAATATTAAGGCAGGAGGTAGGCTCATCCCCCTGACACTTCAAGATGGAGGGCATCTTTCTGTCCAATATCACTGCATTTGATCTTTCTCTGATGAGCTATAAAGGCCTTTCTTAAAGTGGAAAGGGTACTACCCTATGTCCACTTCTGCGTGTGTGTTCTTACTACTGTATTATGTGTGACAATTTAGGACACAGGTGGTTTTAATTTACAATATGCCCCCTTAACCTGAAAGTATCATGATGTCAACAATACACTGAAAAGACAGAAGATCCTGAAAAATGTGTTTTAGCAGAATGTGTTGGTAGTTGTGGATTGCACAGCTCCATGGGATCCATGGCTCACTGCCACCTGCCCACAAGTGAGAAAACTCACAACTTTGTGAAACCGTCAGCATTCAAAGCACAGTTTGGGATTTTTAACATGAGAAAGTCAGATAGTCATGACCTTGAAACAGTGCAAGCAGGAGACTGTGATGAGGCGAGGCGCCCATTTTCTGTTAAGGTCACCGCTAACCACCTCCACAGAAACACACACACACACACACACACACACACACACACACACACACACACACACAAAAATATGCATGTACGCACAGGGCATGTGGGAACATCAGAATGTTAGTGGAAATTCACACTGTCTCTTACTCCTGTTTTTCTACCATCTTCTTCAAGGCCCAGTGTCAAGCAGGTAAATACCATGGTAACCTTCATGAGGAGATATGGTCTAGAGAGAAGGTCTCCCCAAGAGGCCACTGAACTTATCTGGACAATAAGACGCTGGACTTTATGCTAGGGATATGCTTGCAAGGAAAGAATCTCAACTGAACTTGAACTGTGGTTATGCAGCAAGGTGGAGGAATCCACCATGGGGGGAGGGGTATGGTAGGGGTGGGGGGAATCCCCAGTGCCTATAAAACTGTATCACATAATACAATGTTAATAACAATAAAAAAAAAGAAATATGGTCTACACATTCCATCACATCACTGGAGAGAGCTCTGTGGGTCTGTCACCGTCACACTAACCGTCCCTATGGAGCGTGGATGGGACCCATAACTTCAGCTTGTGACTCTCCTGCTGGCTACATTTCTATATATATATCCATTAGCATATCTGGGTTGGAAGATTTTTTTTTAACATCCCTAACAAATACAAGTGTTCCCAAGGGGGGAATCTGATCAGATCACGGAGCTCCTCAGAGCGATCATTAGTACTTTCCCTGATTTTGGCAACTTGCCTGGTCCAATTATATCTTCTTGATATCCAGCACACACACAAAAAAAAGGGAAACTGCAGGTTAAAAATCAAGGGTCTATTACAACAAAGTGATGATATCCACAAGGCATTGAGAAATCTGCAGATCGAATGCTGCTACATGAGCAAAGAGAATAAACCAGCAATCCACCAAAGTCAGCACAAAAGAACACCATAATTTGGCTAGGTTTGTTGTGTAAACCAGAATCATTTTCCTGTGTCTGTTGCATATTATTTGAAAGTTGGTTTCTATGAGGTCTGACAGCTGCTGAGAAAAGACCTTTTCCTTAATAAAAAATCTCATGATTGTTAATCCATCATTCTGAGTTTCTCTCTTGTCTCATCAATCCACTGAACACTCTCTGGTCCTAGTTCTCATCTTTGTCTAACACACCCAGTCTCTCCTTCACACATTCTTAACAAAAGCAGTCATTTCTTGATTCTTTATGAAATAACATTCTCCATGGGACGTGTCCCTTGCTGTCACAGGCATTTCTTTAAGTATGTGGTTTCTTTTCTTTGTTCATGCAAGGGCTAAATGAGCAGCCACCTTACCTGTCTTATTTCTCTTTCAATCCTGACATGGTCCAGTGAATAGGGATGCAAAACACAGAAACAGATTTCAAGTAAGGAAGTTCCAAGAACAGGAGAGGAATCAAATCATTAAGTTTCTCCAAAAATATTGAAAACAAAAGAAAGTCTTGAACATGAACTGCATAGCAACAGTTTAACACCAACATGTTTTCATAAATCAATTAGTGACTATCTGATCACAAAATATGTGACACAGAATATTCTGGCATAGAGCAGATTCAATGTCATCATTGACTGTCTTGAATAATAACTGTCTTTTAGATGGTATGTGTATTTATTTTGAATTCCCTACAAGTTTTGTTTGTTTAAAAATTATTAATCTAAAAATATTTTGTCATTCAACAGATTTTCAAATATATAATATTCCTTCATATGTAGAAATGCTATGCATGTATGATATTCTTTCTTTACATCAGGGATATTATCTCTCATCATGTGGGGTTCATGACAACAAACATAAAGGGAGGAGACTAAGGTAGGGAATTCAAGACAAAATTGAGTCCATAGAAAAACAGTGTTACAATTTTGATAGCAAAGTTTTAAATGTTTCATTAGATCTGGCACTGGTGTTTCTCTATATATAAAAAAATAGAGTGGGTTCACACCTCACATATCATTAAGATGATCAGAAGAGCTAGAGACTTTACTGTGGTGTCTGTAACAAGCTAAGCGCCTCTGACAAGGCTGGCGTCCCTTATCACAGCTGTACTTTGAGTCCCAGCTGCTCTGCTGCAGGTGCAGCTCTGGGGATGCACCTGGGAAGGCAGCAGAAGCTGAGCCCAGTCCATACATCCTTGCCATGCACATGGGAGACCCAGATGGAGTTCCTGGCTCCTGGCTTCAGCCTGACCAGCCCTGGCTGTTGGACTAAATGGAGGCACTCATTCTCTCTCCCCATTTGTCGCTCCTTCTTTTAAACAAATAAATGAGAAACACGTTTGAAAATCTTAGAATCAGACACCTCGTGAAAATTAATGTAGGTGAGCATGTAGAAAGACATAGATAAGAGTTTCAGCTGAGTAGATCCCCCTGACTTTGACAAGAGCTCATGTTGTTTAAAGGAATATTTTCATGTGTTTGTATAAAAAATACATGAGTATCTGCATTGGACATAGTTTTATTAATACTACGAAAGGGATGGCTGTCTGGCACGCAGTGAAGGTGGGTTTTTTAGGTTTTTTTTTTCTCCCAGTAGTGAAAGTTATATTTAATTATTAAAATTTGTTTAAATATTAAGGATTAACAGCTTTGAACTTTAGTTTATACAAAGGGATGGAATCTAATACATTTTTCAGGAGCAAAGTGGCATTTTACCCTTTCTAACTTCCCCAGTCTTACACTTCAACTATTCTGAAATATGAAAAAAAATAATAAAAAGGGTGAAAGAAAACAATCCCTAACAGTGTAATTTCATAAGAAAGTTATTAGGATTTAAATACGCTAATGAAAGATGAATATGCTATTTAATCAAATGATAACAGTTGCTTTCAGAATTAAGAAGTAAGGGTTATAGCATTTAGAAATAGATGTGATCTCCAGAAGCTGACAGACTCCAACAAGGAGCAGACATACAATCACAACTTAAAAATTCACACATCCAGAAAATTGCAGTGCAGACAGCATCTAAACAAACCATAAATATCTTCAGCCAAAGATCTAAAAAAGAAAAGAAATTTGACTTGAATTTTCAAAGAAATTAAGAGCTATATTTCATGTACACATTTTTTGAAAAGTCATGCGTAGTCAGTTTTTAACATAATATTGATTTTTCCAGGAGATCTCTGAAGACCTCTGGGAAATGGGAGAGGAAGTTCATGAATGACCCCTTTTCAAAAATATTTTTTCCCTTCTGTGCGTCAACAACATTACAGAAGAAGCTACAATGTGTGTGACACAAGTACTGTTTCTGCACTAGAGTTTGGAGTTTTCTTATTAGCATCAAAGCATATTCACCTAGGACCATCTCACAGATAAAAGTGATCTGCTCCATGTCCCTGGACAGCCCTCCACAGACGACACCTTGCTTCTATAGCCCTCCAGAACACAAAGCATCGGAAGCACCTCTTCTTTGTGACCTGTCCCATTCCCTGTTCCCATGGGCTTCAGGTACATTCACTTCCTCATCCCCAGTGACCCTTCACTTGCTCAGCTGTGTCAATACTTGCCTTTTCATCCTCAGGCAGAAGCTCTTTACTGAGATCATGACTCAGGCAAGCAGGCCTCCCTGCATCCTGTTCCTTCTGCGCCCAGGTCTAGGAGAGTGTGGCTCTCCAGGTGGCCACAGGTGAAGGCTCTTGGTTGGCTGCTGTCTTCTGAACCATTTCTGCAGCACCTCCTGGACTTTTCAAACTTACTGGAAGGGTCTCAGAGAGGCAGATCTTTAAGTAGAAATGCACACACTTCTTTGCAAGCTTCTATGGAAAGGGGAACACTTTTCCCAATGAAGACTGCATGAAACAGCCAAGAATCTGTTTTGGACCTGAACACAACTAAATCCCAGATAGCCAAGATGTTGGTTCCTGG